CCTTAAATGTGAGGGTGATCTGGCTGCGACCTCTGTCACCCCATTGATCACCAGGGTTGATTGGTTGATCTGGATGTCTAGACAGGTGTCCCCTTTCCTGCCCCATGGATCCATGTACATCCCTCCTGGAGCTGTAAGCTCAGTGGAAGAGGATGGCCTTCCCCAATAGGGGAGGGCCCTTTTTTGGTCGAGGGTATATGAGAAGCTGTTCTGCCCTGCTAGACCCTCCAAACAAGCTCTCAAGGTCCATTCCTAGAAGAAAGTAGGCTAGTCAAGCTTCCAAGACTCGAGACACATCCAAATGAGATGCTACAGGTAGCGGTCTGCCTTTCTTAAAAAAAAAAAAGATATCCTTTGATCTCAGGAAGATAGGATAAGGTCTCTAATTCAGTCCCAGAAAATAATTTGTGATCCATTTAAAGTGGTCTCTCTTCCTTGACCAGTATTTGCCATGAAGATGTGCAAATGACCCAGTTCTACCCCAAAGAGATATTTATGGAAGTCGGCTTGAGGGGTGCAGTGAAATATGACTATGTGAGTGAAGACCGAACTTCAGCGAAGAGAAAATAACTTCCTTCTGAGTCTGCTGCCTTCATGGCATAGTTGTAGGTGCAGCAACATTTTGTGACTCTAAGGGAACAACCCAGATAATTAAGTGATTTCAGCCCTGACATCACTGAACTAATGAGCTAAGGCCATCAACCTCCTACTCCTGAACTTCATTGTAGGCTAAAAGCTAATCAGTATTTGTTGAAGCTACTGTATTTAGATATCCTGATACATGTCATGACAAACATTTCTAACAGGTATTCCAGCATGGGCATTATCTTTCTAGGACAACTACATTGGGTAGTGAGGGAAGTGATCAGGGAAACTTCTGGTCTGTTCCTCACTGCAGTGCACTGCGTCTCTATTGTATTAGTGTTGCCTGGTAGGATCAGGACAAAAACTGAAGTTTTTATGATTTCCTATCAGGTAAGCTTATAAGGTCAGAACCTGAGTATGCAGCTGGTCAAAACCGTGCCATTTGCCATTTGGGTGTTAAAAACGCAAAGCAGGTGGTTTTTGCAAAACAAATGTATGTATGAGGGTCTTCTTCTGATTCTTCCTACCTGAGAAGCTTACTTATTCACCTATGACACTAATCTGTAACAAAGCTGAGTGGTAAAAGATAACATTATTTGAATATACAATCAGGCTATAATTAACCAGAGATGACAATTATAAATAACACTGCGTCCCAGAGTTTCCAAGAAACCTGACATACGCAGTTCTTGGGTATGTTGAAACACTTCCAAGAAAAGTAAAGAAATGAAAAATCTTTTAGAAGTCTTCAATTAAAATGTGTTTCAGTACAAATGACTTTCATTATGTGTTTTGGTACATACGACTGGAAAACATTTGTCCCTATCTTCACACCTCTAATTGTTTTCACTGCCCAATTACAGCTTTTCAGAATTAAGACATTCTAGTTGAGACAAGCATGTTGGTCATTTGAAATGTGAAGAAAAGTTAATGTGTATAGGGCTTGTGTACTCAAGAAAACAGATCTCTGCTACAGGTTTCCAATTATCTGGATCTTGGGTCCTGCTATCTCCTTTTAGACTGACGGAAGGCACCTGGCTGAATTACTTTTCCTTCCCCCTTTCCTTTCTCCCAGCTCCTTTCTATCTTTCTCTCTCCTTCATCCTCCCCACTTCTTACATTTATTTCACATACTTTTAGGGTCTGGGAAGTTGGGAGCATTGTTTAAAGAGAGGAAAAATGTCGTCCTTTTGGGAGCGATAGTGCAAATTATAAGAGGAATTTATACATACTGTGTTTCTGTCTTTCGTTAGGGACTGTGAAGCAAAATTTCAAAGCAACTAGTGATCTAACTATGCTTTGGCCATGGATAAAGTTGGGCGATTATAGAAATCGATTAAAAAGGTAGGTATTAAAAACACGATGAGGCAATATGTCTAGTGATGCTGCTTTATGTGGAAAAACAAGCTGCTACCTTTGTCGAGTCAGGTATGTAACTGATCTGACATGCTCAGCAGTATGGGGTCTTAATTCAGTTCCTACAGGAATTCACACACATAAATATGCCATGATTAACAAACTCATAATTTGATCTAAACTGTAAGCTCTATAAAGGCAGAGGACATACTTTCTTGTTCAATACAGTGCCTGAAGTACACAGCACTGTCCCTAATACACAGGGGTGCTAATGTTGAATAATGACCAATTAAAAGATTTAAATTGACATTATTTCATTCCCATGAGTTGCAAGACATAGATTGATCATTAATTTGGTAGAAATGCCGGCTAAGCTATTTCAACAGGAAAAGGCAACCACAGTAATTCCTGCTTCTAAGAGACATTCAATCTCAAGTGTCAAGGGTAACATAGGGATGAACTAATTCGAATTCTCCTGCTAAAAAGGTTTACTTACGCATTACAAGAGTTTGCCAGACTATGACAATAATGGATTTTTACATTTTTATATTTTACAATTACAATGATACAATTTCATTTTTTAAGATTTTCACTTAAAAACCCATAAAAATATAAGACTACAGTTGAAGGTGTAACTCAACTGCATTGAAAGGGCATGGTGAAGAGATCTGGGGGCACCAACTTCTTGAGAATGGAGACATCTTAATTGGCCAACAGATTCTGGCAGGTATTACTTCAGAAATAGATTTTTTTTTTAAAAAAAACAGTTACTATAATTCTACAAAAGAGAAAGGAAAATTGAAAGGAGTAGTTTTCAACAGAGGCAGCTCTCACTCCTGCAACTCAAATAGGAGGTGCTAATCAGAGAAATAAAATGAAGTCTGATTGTGGAGGTGGAACAAGAAGTGGAAATAGGGTCCCTAACAATGGACAACTATGGAATAAAATGAATGCAGATGGTTCCACTCCTGTTACTTAATCAAAAGGCTGAGCAGAGTCACTGGAGTCTGCATGAAGTCATGTGTTAGAACAACAGCTGATCTGTATTAGAGAAGATTAACTCGCAGTGCCGTGGTGGAGGGCCCAGGATTATTTTATGTACTCCCATTGCCTTACAAGCCGTCAGCACAATTATTGCCCTCCGATGTGAATGACTGATCTGTAACCACAGCTAAACAGCATGCTGCTTAGGGGCCTAGGAGCTTCATGAAGATGAATTTCCATACCATCAAAGCGCTTTTAATGGGCTCCCTGATCCAACCACAAGGCCTGTTTTGTAAGTATATAGAACTCAGGATGAAGGCCTCCTGTCCAAAAGGATTTGGTCGGTTGTCACTTGACAATTCCCAGCCAGCACAGGGGAGGAGACGGGGGAGATAGGTAGAGTTGTCTCTGCTTTGGAGGATTAAAAAAAAAGGGTACAGATGCTTGCTGAATGCAACCAACTGCTGTACCCACAGCTGAATTCAATGCGCTTAACAAATAATGGCAATTTAGCTATGCTTGCGAGGAATAGCTTGAGTCACTTTGCATTAGCATCTGGCTGAGTGTTAAACTCATTTCTACATGGGGAGCAGAGAAAAGGAATTTCTGTTCAAGCATCCTTTCAAGAATGTTTAAATATTTGAATAGAAATTCCTCTATGCTTGCTATCATTCCTTCTTAGAGCTGTCACTTTGCTTTTCCCGCTCCCTTCTGGTGCTTAGCTAGAAAATGTTCGTGCCCTTCGAGCTGCACCAATGTTGCTCTTCTTATGTTGTGAGACTGCAAGGGATGTACACTTGACCATGCTTTGCTCTCCCCTCCAGGAACAGAACAGAACTGAAATCATTTCTCCATCCTTTTGACCCATGTTTGGACCAGAGGAAAAGTACAGTTGTGGCAAGGTCACACCTTCACTATGCAAATTGCTAGCTTCTTAGAGATTATATGTAAAATTCCATATAAAACCTGGGAAACCAGAAAGCTATCCAAATTAGCAGTCTGTTCATTCTGGATGATACTGTTTGACTCATAACCTTCCCATGATGATTAACTTTCAAGTTATTACTAAATAGCTGATCTTTTTTTCCCTCTTATCTACTGTATCTATTTAGCTACAGGATTTTGAGAAAAGGGGATTCAGTAACTTTAAAATCTCAGTTAAAAATACCAAATATGGGGCTTCCCTGGTGGTGCAGTGGTTGAGAGTCCGCCTGCCGATGCAGGGGACATGGGTCCGTGTCCCAGTCCGGGAAGATCCCACATGCCGCGGAGCGGCTGGGAACTGTGAGCCATGGCCGCTGAGCCTCCGCGTCTGGAGCCTGTGCTCCGCAACGGGAGAGGCCACAACAGTTAGAGGCCCGCGTACCACAAAAAAACAAAAAAAACCAAATATGATCAAAAGAAGTATATCACTCCAAGCATTCTATATATAATAACATAATATTTTTCTGAATAAAATACAATGTAGCTTAGACAAAATAGTTTGAAATTATTATAGCTCAGATAAATCCAGAAGTTTCACTGGACTTAAGCATAATAATAGGTATAATAATAATGTCCACATTTTAAACGGCAAACTTTGTTTTATGATCAAGTCAAAATTTCCAATTGTGCAGTCACCTAACACTTGACAGTGCTTTGCATTGGAAACATTATGACAGGCTCAGGATCTTAGATGCTGAGACTACAAGCATGGGTACCATCCAAGCTTATGCTGATTAAAGAAGATTCGGCATTTTCAGATCCAGCTCATCCCCAAATACAAGTTGAGCATCTCTGTAAAGCAAAACTTTCACTGAGACTCAGGTATTTCAAACGCCACTTCATTTTAATACAAAGTGATGGCAGAAAAGGGGATATTAATTGTCAATAAGGTTCAGATGGCTAGCAGAGAATTACAATGCTTTTCATTTCCAGATGGTTTTGATTAGGATGGGCATGAAGAGTTCTGCACTGATGGAGGGAAAAAGGGTGGGAGAACCGTCATTCCAAGGATGGTGAGAAGAGAAAAGGATAAAGAAAAACAGTCAGGCAATTTAAGTATTTTTGGAAAGTCAGTTATTTTAGGAACTAACCTTTTCTGCTCGGCAGTTATTGAGACCTAGACTATTCACAACAGCTACCTTCCCATCAAGCACCTGTTGTTCCCGCCGAAGCTGCTCCTTCATCTGCCGAGCTTCTTGGATTGCCTTGGTGACAGCATCATGGTCATTTAAATAACCTGAAGATGTAACAGAACGAAGGATATGTTTTGTACAAGTGCATGGATAGGTTAACCTTTCACCATAAAAATCACTTCTTTTTTGGGAATGGCTAGTGTCTGGCATGTACTAATTTCTCAATGGAATCAGTCTAAAAATGAATGAATGAATAAATAATTGATGATAACTGATTCACACAGTTACATCAACATGGTGGCAAACATTTGTTATCAAAATGTAATATTTAAGTGAAATACAGCTGTTTCCACATGTTTGAGAAGAAGTTTAAAATATAATTTTTAGATAAACTTTTTTAGTTAACTGAATATTTTGTAGTGCAAAAATACAACCTGTCCTTGGTTTTTTTCCTATAAGGATCATTTGAATGTTACCATAGGATACAGGTATTGATAATTATTACTATTAATTACTGACACTCTCATAGTATTAGAAAGGCCAATTTAGAGTTTGAGTATGGCACTATTAGGTTTGTTATATACAGAAGGAACAAATCATTGTTACCTGACTGAAAGAAAAGCATTTCCCGCCTGCATCCAACCATGGTGAAATAAACCACAGTTGGCAATATCTTGTTACAGATACAAACTTGCAATAGTTAAGAGGCTAAATTTCAAGCACAGAATGTAACCAAGCACCTGTAATTGCTGAATAATAAATTGTGGCTACTGGGTAACTATAATCACACTTAATTCCCACTCTTAACGGGATGGTCAAGTGACCAACTTGTGCTGCAACTCCACAATCCAGAGTTAGGGAAAAAAAAAAAAAAAAAAAAAAAAAGAAAGCTAAAATATTTCTTTTAAAGAATAACAGGTGTAAGGAGAAAGGCTAATTTTAACTCTGGTCATTTATTTATTTGATGCACATTATGCTGATAATCTGCATGATTTTAGGGTGGAAGAGCGATGGGAAGGGATCGTTTTGCAAATATTGAAAGGAAAAAGCTAATATATCATCTTTCACTCTCCCTATCTTTTAACTAGGGCATAAAATGGCATAAACTGAATCTATAATATGAAATTGCCCAGAAAAGGGACTTGTTTGTGACATGAGGCTAAATCTAACCAGATCCATTGGTGAATTGTGACAGATGGAGGGACTGTGAGACAGAAGGCAGGCACTAATCACACATAAAATGACCGGCTTGCCTCAACATGTTCCATGGATTCCAGCAAACTTTACACCCTAATCCATTTTTAGAACAAAAAACATCTGGGCCATAAATCCTCTAATCTGCCAAAACACGCTATTAAATCCCATGATTTGTTGAAAAACACTAAGATTAAAGAAAGGAAATATAAAATGGCTAACTGCCGTGTTAGGAAAGTGTTATTAATACTCTTTCTTTGTCTCAATTATGAATGTTCTGGTACTAAAGAGCCTTGTCTAATCATGTCAGATTACACGACCTCGTCGTATTGCTAGACTCTTCTATCTGATCTGCCAATTGCCAAAAAACCTAGAATACTTTCTTGCTGCTTAAACATTTCTGTTGAAGAAGCTGATGTCAGATTAGCGCAGTGCTTCAGAGCTGGAAGGCTTCTAAATGATCCGTGTCCTTCCCCCCTTACTATGCACAGACTGAACATCCTCCTCTGATCTCCTTAAGGCAGAAAGAGAAGTTCCAGGGTCGCCGATGGAAAGGGGAGCCTTGAGAGCTACTATATATTTTGCTTTTCTGAGCTAAACTCATTGGAATGTATTCAAAAGAAAACATCCTTGCTCATTATAAATACAATATGAATCATAAACAACTATTTAAATCTAGGTCAGCCCTTTAGGGTTAATACGTACTTAAAATTACTGTCGTTTTTAACCTTATATTATCCTCAACATCTGGACTTGGTTCTCCTGCACAACCTTCTTAATATATTATTCTTCAACTCATTCTGTTCACGAACACTACCACTCTGGAAAGAAATACAGCTCTTAAATGACAGGGATGGTCTTGGTATGTGTTCGTTTAGTAGATCTTAAGAGGATCAGCCTGCTTTTCCTATCCTCTAACCCCTGTTTATGTACAACCTGGTTCCATGTGTTTTTGTAGTCTATTTAGCTTCTCCAGAGCACAAATATATTTGAAATGATTTGGCACATGACACTGAATAAAAGTATGAAATCTTTATGCTTTTGAGGCACTGTCAAGATAACACTGTGTAGGAAAAATCATTAATATAGATGCAGAAAGGATGCATCTATTACTACGAGGGTGAATAACTGACAGACATACATATGTTCTGTAATGGCTATTTCCAATGTGAGATGTGTGTTTGTGTGCAGGTGGATATAGGTGCTCACTTTAAAAGAAACATTCTTGCTTTCAGAGACTTGAATTTTAGTTAAAATGCTATATGAAATTCTAACATTGTATCTGCTGTGTTAAATCATAAAGCCGTTTACATATTACAGAGTTGAATCATAACAGGATTGTTTGCTGGTTCTTTACACTTTGCTCTCATCACAGTCACCAACTTCCCAGTTATGCTGATTCCCTCTCTCAGTAAATGGCCTCACCTCCAATTCTGGAAAGACGAATAAGGCTGAACTCTCACCTTCCTTCCCCACTCTGACTCCCACCCCAGGCTAGCTTCAAATCGATCTCCACGTATGCCCACTGCCACCTCCTGTTTCAATGAAAATGGCACCGCTACTTTTATTCAAGGCAAATCCCCCAAATTCATGCTCTAGATTTCTATACCTCTCTACTGGTTATTCTCTTTCACATTTACATCATCCACTTGAACTTCTCTACTATCGTTACCACCTCAACTTGTAAGTACTTAAGATTCTCCTCCTGAAACAAGCAAATAAAGTCTCTTAACTTTGTGTCACCCTCTCGTTCCAATCCTGTTTCTTTACCTTCCAAGCCAAGCTTCTCGAAGATTCATATCATACTCTCCCATTCCTTCCTCACTCTCCCATTTCTGCTACAGTCTTGTTTCCGCTCCCCTTGCTCTTTCAAATGCCAAACCCCAGGGACACTTTCCAGTCCTGGCAGAAACAGCACTGACAATCCCTTTGTTACTGACACTCCTTCCTTCCTTGCTTCTCATCATAGCACTGGATCCTCATCTCTGACTTCTCCATCTTCATATCCTTGCCTGGGATCTTACTTCATTTGCTCCTTAGATTTGGTCCAAGGTTTCCATCACCCGAAAATAATTTGTGCTTTGGAGTTGGATAAGCCTAAATTAAAATCCTAACATTGCTACTTACTAGCTATATAAATTGTACATATTGTTTTACCTTTCTAAATCTCACTGGTCTTATTGGTTAAATGGAATAACCTCACTAGATAAACATGACATTGCGAAGATTCAATGAGTTAATATAGTCTTTTAGCATAATAAATGGTCCATGAAAGTCATTCAGTAACTGTCAGTTTAAAAAATGGCATAGTGAAATAGGTAGAATTTGGGCATTGGATTCAGATGGATCCAGGTTTCTGCTTCTTAGGAAGTGTGATATTTGCCAAATTATAACACTTAATTTCACTGAGTTTCCATTTCTTTCAACTTTAAAATGAACATAAGGTTGATGGAAGAATTAAATGAAATAACACATGTGAAGGAGTAGATAACACTTCGTACACCTGAGGAGGCAGTAAAAAATGTTAATTCTTTTCTCTTTTTTCCTCTTTCATTTTCCCTATATGCTCATCCTCAGCAGTCTTGTTGCACGGCTTTGACCATTATGATAAAATCTGTGAGGGGGGCTTCCCTGGTGGCGCTGTGGTTGAGAGTCCGCCTGCCGATGCAGAGGACACGGGTTCGTGCCCTGGTCCAGGAGGATCCCACATGTCGCGGAGCGCTGGGCCCGTGAGCCATGGCCACTGAGCCTGCGCGTCCGGAGCCTGTGCTCCACAACAGGAGAGGCCAAGACAGTGAGAGCCCGCGTACCGCAAAAAAAAAAAAAAAAAAAAAAAAAAAAAATCTGTGAGGGGATATCATTTCTTGTTGGCACAGAGGTTCAGTGAAATGGGAGTCACCTATTAGAGTTTAAAGGAGCCCAAATGATCACTTGCTACATTTTATTCTGCCTTCATTATATATTCAGGCAGCAAGTACATCTTATGATCAGAAGGAAGTGTTCAGGAGAGGTTTGGTGAGCTTCTTAGAGGGAAAATGGGAGGGCAAAGGCCAATATGGCTTCCAGTTAGTGCCTCAAATGAGATTTGGGAAATGCAGGTTAGGGATCATTAATGTAAGAAATATATGAGAGTCTGTGACTGTGTTAAATTTACCACAATTTGATTTTTTTTTATACCTTGGTGTTTCTTCTTAACCATAACCAACAAAATTCTCAAAATTAAAATGGTCCCTGTTATATATTTTCAGGGGCAGAAAAAGATGGACAAACTGGAAAGTTCAACCTTAGAGGGGATAAAATCTAAACAGAAAGAGT